TTCCCAAAAAAGGAAATTTTCGCAGTTGAACAGCAGAATGATCAGAGAATGTCACAAATTGTCACGAAATCAAAGTTGTGCATTTTTACTATACAAACAACTTTCATTAAGTGACCTGTAGTCACAGCTCAATAAATGTGTCAGCACTGGCTAATCATTTGCTAATGTATACCTGATATAGTGATATCTCACTCAGTGGATAACTTACATGGATGATTTCAGCACTACAAAGGATACCTGTATGAGTGGCATAATATCCTTGAGAATACAATGTTATTAATACATATATATCATCTCATGATTATTCATCACACACATTGATGCAGCAATATCTCCACCAATTCTACATCAAATTAGATGATTATCATACTGGTAGGTAGATAATAACCTAATATAAACATGCTCTGATGTGAGTCTAGGCTTATAGACTTAGGTTATACTGGTATCCCCCTTTTCTATAGTTTTTTTTAAAAAAAAAATTGATTGGGCACCATGATCACTTGATATCTTGCTGAGGGATCCATGGATAAGCTTGATTCAAGTTGCACTATGGTCTATTGGATGTCCATCAGAGCTATGAGCACCACCTATATTTCTAGGAATCAAATCTACCTGCATATATGCTGTATATCCTCTCACTCCAATCTTTCAATAACTCACTCAAAGGTGAGAGTTCCCCAATGAGATAAAGGTAGGAAGGATACAGAAAGGTCTCCCTGAAGGATGATATCCTTCCTACTCTATTGTATGCATGTAATCCCTTGTTATTCTCTATTATACACAGGACTGCTATCACACATCATATAGACAATACCACTATGATCTGCTAGTTGATTATAGATCAAAATATGTAGAATTCAGTTAATGAGGTATATATACCTAGCTACATCCTCTGATCGATCTCTGTATGTGCTTGAAGGATGAATTGGAGCGTACATTCAACTGCAGTGTCAGACTGCGGGTCGGGCTGTGCAAGGATCTCTCCTAAGAACGCGCGCCTGGAACAGAACAGACGGATAGTCGGGCCCATAAGTATGGCGGGCGGGGTAAAACTGAAAGGGCCCGTGAACTCGGTCCCTTGTCGCTATCGGTGGTCGAAGGTTTGAATCGGGTCGTGTTGGGCCCGATGAGTCGATAACGCCTCCTTGCACGGAGTAAGGTAGTTCTTCAGACGATCTAAGCGATAGAGTACAGGGTACACTATCGCGTCTTATATATGCGGGCCCGCAAAGGGGGTGATCAGACACCCTGGCCTCTCCTGCTCCTCCTCGCCCCCGTTCCTGGCCGCAGAGGGGACGATCGTACATCCCTTGCGGGCCAGGCGCTACTCCTAACCTCCTAGCACTCCTCCCCAGTCCCCTTGTGTCGAGTTGGGCTTGGCAACGGCTCGACACGTCGTTCTCGGTCATGTGCTTTCCACGTGTGCGTTCCTCCTACTGGGGCGCATGTTCCCCGTTGTCACGTGCTGCGTGCTACGGGCCCGCAATGGCCCGACACCAGCACCGGAGCGGACGGGCCGGGTCTTATCCGTGACATGCAGTTTATATATGAAACTGGTTTACATGAATAGTAAGATCTACAGACTGAGTATTGAATATTGAGGTGGGTGGATGATGTTATTTGGATGTTCACTAGGACCCTGTACTATAATCAGTTGTGGTTCTGGCATGTGTTGCTAAAGGTAGCTAAAGAGAGGGTAGGTATCCATAGAGCCAAAGAGAGTGTCTTCGCTATTACAACTGGTCAGAAATTAATTTCAAGTATGATCCAAGACTTGGACATAGGATGGGATAGACCTTCAAATGAACATGTCCAGCACTTGAATCACCCCCATAGCTATTCTGGATCTCTTACAATACCATTATCAGTGTTATCTATTCCAAAGATGATGAGTTCACCATAGCATGACCTTTGTGATTCTGAGTAATCTGAGTATACCTATTTGTCGGGGTATGGTCCACATCCCAGAATGTGGTGCCCCTACCCCCATAGCATTATTCCTATCCTGGGCTATATAGCACCTAAGGCCTCTAGGGCTTGAATGACCCTAGCACTGACTGTGTGGTCAAAGGTGGGTGGAAGTGTAGTGGAGTATCCTTTGAAACTATATCAACTTGGATCAAGATATTCTGGGCATGGGGTCTCAAGATATCAACAGAATACCTCTCAACTCAGCATTCAAGCATGTTTATCAGTAAATAGATTGAGGTCATGGTGACAGATGATATGACTGAAGAGACTAGGAGATGTTGACATGATACATCTTTCAAATGAGCTCTCTCCCAGCTTTATCCTCCAAGGCTAGCTGAAGTTTCATGCTTATCTTTCAGGGTTGATAGAGATCAAATACCACTGATGAGTGAATACATTGTATTCTCAGTGCAATATGCATGGTAGGTTGGAGGGTTGCATACTAGAGCCTTAGTCTAGAGTATCTAAACCTACAATCCAGCCACCTTACATGTTTTGATTCTGAGATATTCTCTTTTTTATAAAGGAATGGTGAATATAATAATCATATTAAATCATGATGATCAAAAAAAACCAGTGATCAATGATACCTTTTGAGACCCTTCATTTGGTACTTGATTCATGTGTGTAGAGCTGGAGTGCTATGGTGATTGGACAGTTTTAACACAGTTATTGAGCTGTGACCATAGTTCACTTGATAAAAGTTGTATATATAGTCAAAATGCACAACTTTGATTTCGTGACAATTTGTGACATTCTCTGATCATTCTGCTGTTCAACTGCGAAAATTTCCTTTTTGGGAACTATGTCACACTGGTGACCTCATATCACATTATGTAACAGAGTGTATGGACTTGGTAGGATATGTGGAAACTATAGGTGATAGATTATCATCAAGTTACTAGCCTTTAGTATCAGCCGTGTCACAAATGTCACACTGACCTTGTGCAATAGGACAAGAAATGACTTAGAAGCCTGGAGCCTCAGAAATATTGCAGTTTTATTGCCCCCTTTATTGCAGCATAGGGAGTTTTGAGACATCTCTTCTAATTAGAATGGGCACCCAAGCGCGCTGTCCATTCTAATTAGAAGAGATAATTGGGATTAACAGGTGATTTATGCACATCATATCCGTATTTTGGATGATATATTCAAAATATAGTAATCACATTACTGCCTCCATCAGGTGCATCACCACCCCCGCCCTGGAGATCCCTCTGGGACCTGGCTTGCGACATGGTGCAGGCATACTGCTTGGACTCTTGGAGCAACAATCACACTTGGTATGTCAAGAGCACAGTATATAGTTCAGCTACCTAGTAGGTGGTGTCACGGTTCGGGTCGGGCCACCGGGCCACGAGGCCGCACGGGCCCGACCGGGCCCGCACAGGCCCGCATACCGCCATACTCCTTGATGCTCCCTCATTCTTCCAGCCCCTTCCCTTCACCCCTGCGTCCTACGCAGCGCCCATCCGATCCGCCCTGGGACCTGGCGCCCATCCGATCCATCCCTAATACCATGGTGTATAAAAACCGTACTTACAAGATGTAGTCGCTAGGCTAATATCATCTATTCTCCGGGCGAACACCCATCTTTTGTGCTCCTCAGACCCTCTCGAAGTCGGACCCCCCGACGCCCCGATATGGCCCGAGGCCCCGAGCCCGACATTGACAGGCGGACCCTTAGAGTTTCTTCTCTTTGGATCCTCCCCTGCTAGGACCTTGATCTCAGGCCTCCGGAGTTGCCCTTACATGCATGTTTCAGCAGAGAGCCTTGCATAGCCTGACCAAAAGCCTCAGGCTTAGAGAATCCCCTGTTGATGAAAGATATCCAGAGCATATTTTACCTACCTGTTCAGCTTATATAATGCTATGTATAGTCACTAGAAATGATCTAATAATATGCAACTACTATGTGTAACATAATCCAACTGTACCAACCTCACATATACTGGCACCTGTTTGTCTCGCAAATTACTAATAATCTCCAGTGTTGACCTAGCTTAAGTTGAGACCCTAGAATAATAAATAATTACCAGTTTTCAGAGCTCTAAGGTAATTTTATGACTATTCAGTAAGATATATTATAGGTTTGTCACTATGTAGTATATAGGGAGTATATAAAGTTGAGACACTTATAATATAGACACTGGACAGTAAGGAATGATCAAGTCAAGATCCAAGTCACTTAGCCAAATTTTAGTACTGTTTATCATACCATATAGGGTGATAATATAACTATGACAAAAAGAAAGAAAAAGTTCATTTGACAGTATAATCATCAGAAAGTGTTTATCAGGAGAACCCTCTTCTCGGACTATTTGGACCACTTCATGGCCATTGGCATTCTACCCCCTTCCAGTTATTCTGCCTTGATGAATCACATGACTATGTACTCGACTGTCCTCAAGCCGCTCGTGCCTTATGTCACATCTTGGAGTTAGCTCTATTTTGTATTTACCTAGTCTTATTTACTCCTTTGGATTCTCCCCTGCTAGGACTCTGATTCCGGGCCTCCAGGGTTGCCATTACAAGAATTCCTTATATGGCAGTGATGGTATCAGATTATTGTACAACTAAGTTACTCTATAAAGATTATATGGAAGGATCACTGACATCATCAGATTGTGCATATTCATTCTGGGGGAAATTAAAAACTTTTTTTAAAAAATGTTTTGAGTCTCAGAATTAATGAGATTATAGCAGAATTATTTGCAGAATTATCACAGAGTAGGCTCCTCAGGTATATCCCTTGATTCCCTTCAGCAACCATTCTAATATGTGGAGATAATTGGAATTAACAGGGAAGGCAAGGTGAGATCCACAAACCCTGCCCTCTCTTTGACTCCTACGCAACTCCTACGTTGTCATTGAGATCTTGAGATATTGAGAGACTATCAGCGTTGGTCCTTGTTTAAAACTTTTGTTAATCCAAGAAAAGTGCAATTATTATACAACATGTAACAAGTACAAATGCGCGTGGGTTTACAAGCAAAGCGTCTAAGTATAACCTGAAAAAGCAAAGCAAATTAGATAGTCCGCAACACAGACAACACCTCCGCCAACGTCCGTTCATCCAGGCCCCCATGTTGCTGGAGAGCCGACATCAACGCCTGTTTCTCGTCCGCCACACCAATCTTCGCTCGCAAAGCCGCCTCCGCGTTCTCGATACGCACCATGAGCGAGTACAAGATCAGCATCAGCTCGTTGTCCGTCATCTTGTCCGTCATGGTTGGCAGCAGAAGATTCGGGTCTCCATGCAACGAAACAGAGTTCTCATCGTCCTCACACATATCCGACAGGTCCTCTGGTAAGCTGCCCTTGCGCTCAGGCAATGCGCGGAAAACTCGACCAGAAGAACCCATTTCCAGGCGCAAACACAACATCCCCAGCTCCCGCATTTGCTCAACACTGAATTGCACCCTTGACCCCGACGAGCTGGTGGGGTCGACGACAACCTCGTCAACCATGTTCTTCCGCTCAATAAGCTTGCCCGGAAACACCATCGACAGCATTTCCGGGACCTCCAACCCTTTCAACTTGACTTCCCCAACCGGCACAATCACAGGCTCCATTCGGCGGATAGCGTCAATTGCTTCCTGCGGTTGCGCGTCAGAGTACTCTGTCTCTGGCTCTGTCTCGAATATCTTGGCGTTGATCTCCCGAATGACATCGGTACTGCACATGATCTGACCACCCGCTGCGCTGGCCTCGATTCGTGACGAGCGATTGACCATGGGTCCAAAATAGTCCATTCGGGTCGTGATGGGGTCGGCCTCACAGAGAGGAGTGCCACAATGAATGCCCATTCGCACAGAAAGCCCGCGCGCAATAAGACGGCCTTGGTCGTCGTAGATTGTCCTTCCGTCGGCACATTCAAGAATTTCAAGGGGCCATGAGGCGTTGAGCAGTTCGACTTGGACAAGCATGCACCACCAGACAGCTGCAAGCGTTGTTGGGAAGGAAACCATGAACGAGTCGCCTTCGGTCTTGACTTCGTAGCCACCACAGAGCCGGAGGAATCGTCGCAAAAGGGTGTTGTGAAGACGCATTGCAGTTGCCATTCCCGGATTGGCGTCCCAAAGATGTGTAGAGCCACGAATATCAGTGAAGACAAGCGCGATATGGCCAGTAGGCGGAGGAACCTCGTCTTTTAGGCGATCAAGAGTACGGTCGTTGATAACAGGGCGCTTCTTGCGCAGGTTTGGTGCGGGAGGGTCCGAAACACTGACGACCATGATCATGGTGCTGCCTTCAGCGCCATAACTAATGGCGAAGTCTCGTAACTTCTGAGCAGCAACCATAGGCTCGTGACCATGAGCAATATCCACCGCAGTCTGATAAGAGACATAGTCCCATAGACCGCGATTCGCGATGATAACGAACTCGTCAAGCTCGTTCAAGTCATAGGAGATGACATCCGGTCGGGCGTTGACAATAGGAAGTAGATGGAAAAACCCAAACGAGCGAGAGATGTCGAGTTCATCATTGACCAAACCGGTTGGAGAAACCCAACCTTCCGCTGCTCGAATACGACTTGTTTCTGCTCGGTCATATGGATCGTGTTTCCTTGACAGGGCATGGGCACTCCGTTCGCGTGATATGACAGCTAGGGCATTGCCCGCGTTGGCGACATACATCTTCCGATCGACGATATAGACGACAACTCCCGAAGCACCACTTCGCAGATTAGAGGAATCTGTGCTGGGGAGTGTTGTACCGATCATATTGATGCTGCCATGCGACATCTTGCGGTTGGGGCTGAAAACCGAGTCGTGTATCTCTTGGTTGAGTTTCAAAAACGATCTTCTCAAGGCATCGGTGGGAGTTTCTCCTCGCTCATGATTGATCAAACTGAGCTGCGAAATAAAGACGCGGACGAAGTTATCTTGGAGGAACTTGGCGAACCAGTTGGACGTTGTCGCAGCGGGAAGTTGCTTTGGTGGCATTGCGCGTCCAAACATAGCGAATACAGCATCTCTTTTGGCGCCTCGGAATTCGTGGACCAAATCAAGCATGTTGACATGCTGATTGCGACCAAGAGTATCGGCAATTCCGTAGGACATGCCATTTACCACCGAAGAAGAAGTCCGAACCCGTCGGTCCTCTTGCTCGTCTGGAATGTCCATGCCTTTATTTGCGCCGGTCGTTGTTATGGTAACATCCATAAGCCCAAGCACACGCAGTTGAGTCAGTTCCGAGAACCCAGCCAGTGATTCGCGATTGACCAGCTGCAGGCTTTGTCGATTTCCAGGAGAAGTGTCGGACTTGATCTGGAGCCGCGTGTTCCCCGACAAGTTCAAATATCGTAAGTTCTTATTGAAATTCCTACAAAACCGTGGTCAGAATATGGTGAACAACCAATAGCTGAGCAAAATTACCAATTCCAATCGAACTCCCAGTTGTTGATATTATACTTGAGCAGGTTGCTTCCAACATCTAAGATGGTCAGACTCTTCACCTTCCCCAACTCCTGCGGTAGCGTCTGTAGTCGATTGCCATTCAAGAACAGTGTCGATAGTTTCGTAAGCTTGGGTAAATCCTCGCCTGGGAAATTGGTGAGCCCATTTCCGCTGAGATAAACTTCCTCCAGCTTGTTGAGATTGCGGAAGAAGGTGGAGGGCATATCTTGTATCTCATTAAAGGACAAGTTGAGCACGCGAAGCTCTTTGAGGATCATCAACGGATGCAAAACTTCGTCTGTGAACCGGTTTTCGCCAAGGTAGAGTAACTCGAGAGAATGTGCGAGTGGGGGGAGGTCATGCAAACTGACAACGGAGGGTTTGCGATTGGGAGGAAAGACTGGACCAGATGCAATGGATGTCTCAACAAACGAAGCGGCCACGTCATCTTCTTCAGGGACCGAAGGTGGCGGGTCATGCCAGAGAACAAGTAAGTTGGATGTGACATTGAGTCGTGACAACGATGCGCAATTCCAAAGAGATATTGGTAGCTCTCTTAGGCTGTTGTTATGGACATCAAGGTTTTCAAGCTTCTGCAGGTTGCCAATCTTGGAGGGCAGTTCCACCAGCAAGTTATCCGCACAAGAGAGCGTTTCGAGCCATCGAAGTTCTGCAAGGGAGTCGGGGATTGTTCGAATCGAGTTGTTATCCAGTCTCAGTTTGCGTAGGGAGGTCAATTGGGAGAGTGTGTATTCGTCGATGACTGAAAGCTTTGCGTTGGAAACATCGAGTGACGTCAAGTCCAAAGGACTACGCCCAATGGGCCCTCGCACGATAGAAAGTTGCGTGATCTCGTTATATGAAGCATCGAAACTCGTCAGACATGGGCCGACGGATATTGCGAGGTCAAGTAGAGAGTTATGGTCTGCGCTGAGCGTCTCGATCTTCGGTAACATGCTTGCAACCGTCAGGTCAGATATCTGGTTCCTCCTGCAGTCCAACTCTCCCAGCCGACCCAGATTGCTAAATTGGTCCGGCAGCTTGGAGACCTGATTTCCGACCATAACCAATCGCTCAAGGTTCTGAAGATTCCCAATGGCCTCCGGCAACTCGGATATCAAATTGAACGAAATGTCCAAGTCACGGAGATTTCCCAGCTCACTGACACCCTCGGGAAATATCTTGAACTTGTTATTCGAGATGTTAAGGGTGATAAGGCGCCGCATGCGAGGGAAATTCCAAGGTAGTTTCTCGAGGCGATTGTTCTGGACATATAATGTCGTAAGACCGGGAATATCATCAAGATATGCTTCGTCCAAAGTTGCGATGCGGTTGCAGGAGAGGTCGAGGCGAGTCAGAGTCAAGCTGTGTCGAAGACTGTGTGGGACCTTCTTCATCGCCATATGGGAGAGCCGGAGTTCCCTAAGAGTGGTGCAAGACTGAATGAAGTCCAACGGTATCTCGATCATGGGGTTCCGGGAAAGTCGAAGCGAAACGATAGAATCAGCATGTTGGTGTAGAACCACAGGTATCGTTCGAAGGCTGCGACCACTGAGATCGATATATTCGAAGTTGTCGAACTTGAGTTCTTCCTCCTGGTGAAATGTCAGAAGCAAATTGCATGAAAACGTAACATCACGCACTGCGGGACCAAGAAACTGACTCTTGTAAACAAACTTCAATATGAATCCCAAACCCGCTCCGCTCAATAGTTCGTACCCATCTGACTCATCATAGCCTGCTTGTTCCAGTCGTCGCCGAACGATGTCGCCCGGCTTTTCGGTCGAAGCCAAGATCCGCTCTGTTCAAGTATTGACCACCATTTAACACATTGAACAGAAAAGTTACCCCGTCCTCGTTCCCTGAGACAAAGCTGGTGCATTTCTTTCTCTTCCCCGGGAGGCAGCTTCTGGTCCAGCTTGGGTGTTAGAGTTCCCACTGTCACATTGGTGCCAACGGAAACAACATGATAGGTGTTGTCCGCCTTATATATGCGTATCTTCATCTTCTGGCTGTATGCAGACGGAGCACGTTTCGCTGCAGACCGTGGTTTTGCTGGAGGGGGAGGCGGTGCTTCTTTCCCAATGTTCTCTCGGTCTGCGTCCACAGCAATGGGGGGGATCCGAGACGAGCGACGAGCAAATCCGTGCCCGTTGACATGACTGTTCCTTCGTCGCCCAGGTCCATCACTGCCTTCATCCGAACTCGAAGCACCTTCCACATTAGGCTCTTTTCCATCTTTTACGGCCACACTCCAACTCTCCGGCGCAGTCCAGCTCTCATTAACGGTCAAACCTTCTGACGCATTAGGCAGGTCGCTGTCCGGGGATATTACGGTATTTGGAGAGACTTTTCGTGAGGGTCGTCGGGCGTAGTGCGGTCGATCCGGTTCTGAAGAAAATGGGTTGCGAAAAGGTGGTAGAGTGCTGAATTGCCCGGTACTATCCCTGTCAGAGATCGACTGGGAGTGGGCAGAACCGACTCCACTACTGGGTGAGCTAGTCGGGGGAACTCCGTCAGTAATAAACACTGCACGGTCAACAATGCCATCCATTTCGTCGAAGTTTGTGTCAAGCTTGATTTCCTGCTCCCCAGAGTCTGGCACCTCGATGCTGGGCACGGGCGGAATATCATCCGGGTGGCCAGATCTCTTCTTTGGTCGCTTGAAACGCGGTGTTTGCGGTGGAGAAGGCACGGGAAGAAATGATACGCCGGTCAGGGGAGGAGGAGGTCGTAAAGAGGGATGTTCGGAGTCGTCGGTATTTCCAGCACCAGAACGAAGGCTTCGTTTGGAAACCTTCTTTCGAATGGAGCTGATGAGAGAGGATTTGGGCTTGCGCAGGTCGGGGGATGAAGTCAACGAGCGATCTCGAGGCTCGTGCATCATGGACGTGGAAGTTGACGCAATAACTGAGTCTGCGAGGCTGCTATGCGACTCTGACGGGCCGCGTTGGCGGGAGAAGAGACCTGAGGAGGTGGAAGGTCGGAGTGAAGAGAATGAAGCCTTTGCCGGAAAATGGAATGTTCGACCATTCTTTGGTGGAGGTGACGGTGGCCCTTGTCTGTCAAGCCATGGAGCTATTTCCGCGTCGTGGACGGTGACAGGCGGAGGGTCTAGTTCAGACGGCATCAAGGCTTGCCCATAATCGTCAATGAAGTCGTGTAAACCCATCGACTCGTTCGTAGATATGCTCAAATTTGTCGAGGGCCGGTGGCTGGTATAGCTGCTACTGTTGGTAGCCACGCTGCCTTTACGGAAAGACTCTGAATCGTGAAATGTTCGGTACGGCTTTGGTGGCGGGGTTGGCTGGAGCCGAGTAGAATTAGAACCGGGAACGGCGCATGATAAACACTCACAGGGACATCGTCCAATGAATCTAGCCATGGCGCAATCTCTGGTTGAGGGTAATATGGGTCAAGATGAACCACTGGAGAGTCCCGGCCATTCCTTCTCGTTGAGACCTGCATTCTCGACATATTCCACCAGTCCCCAACGGCTTTTCAGCCCACCGCTGCTTATGCATTAGGATTTCTGGCGATGAGGGAATGGATGGGCTGAGACGCACCCAAGTTCAAATATTAAGCCCTTATAGCTATTCCGCGAGTTGCTTGGTCGACTGTTGGAGATCTTCTGGACTTCAAAGATGGGATTAAGGGATTCTCAGCGACGGATGGAAGCAAAACGACGAGGACAGGAAGGAAGGGGGGAGTGTCACAGCGCTGTCACGTCACGTCACCTTTAATCCAAGTTGAGTCACGGTATCTTCACTGACTTTACATAGTCGGCGACCATTCATGATCATATCGCATGCCCTTCATCGACAAGTTGAGAACCAACTATCGGCCTTCTCAGCTGGAGGTAATCCAACTACCTGCTGGCTTGAAAGGAGCAACGACTCTGTGAACTTTCAAACCAACAAATTTCCCAACTCACAGTCGAGCTTGACACGAACTTTCAATGCTGCCCACACCGCGCTTCTCGCCCCAATCCGCCCACTACCGCCAGAAATTATCTAGTAGATATCTCTCGCGTGTGTTCCGAAGATGCAAACTGTACTACGAGCGCAACAGAGGCGCCACTACTTCTGCCAGGTGTATATAATGCAATCTGTCTCTCGACATCCAAATTATGAGCCCGCCTGCATGTTATCGAACCTGGAGACCCAACCTGCGTGCCTGGTCGAATTGGTCTCCAGGTTCGATAACATGCAGGCGGGCCTATAAGCCAGACATCACATTCACCAAGAGGTTAGAAGAAACGTATGAATGGCTGCGCCGCCCTGGCCAACAGCTGTTGTCACTCTCATTAGAGTGCGGAAGACTCGCCTCGCCATGGGAAACATTCAATACGGACGTTTTTCGCGAGGCTTTCATCAAGGTTGCTTACCGATGGCAGAGCATCTCGCTGTCTATCCAGCGTTCCACTAACACAACTCCTGTCGCAGCTCAATGAGCACGATGTACCAAGACTAGCAAGTTTGACCCTCTCCCATCCTCTTCGGATACGTTGTTCGACTACAATTGGGCCTCTCTTCCTCTTCTCCGCGAATCAAAAATTACACAACATGGTCTTCCGGTCGCCATACAGTGGATGCCCTCACTCCTTTTTCGATTGGCGGAATTCCATGGAGCAGCCCGCTATCTCTCAAAATTTTGTGGGCAGATTGCAACCAGGACACGAAAACGACCAACAAACAACCTCTTTCATTCCTCTCCCATATTGTAGCCTGCACATTATCGAACTCTACATACTCATTGACAAACCAACGCCGGCTGGCATTGTCCATCGCCTTTCACTTCCGGTCTTACTCTGCGTGGCCATCTACCGTCGCTGGAGATTATTCGCAACCAGGATTCTCATGTAATCGGAAAAACTCTTTTCATCCTTCAATATTGGTGAAGAGGCTCATAGTGGCCGAGATCTTCACCAAAGACTCCCTCTCTCAAGCACTGAGTGATCTTCCCCCTGGCCTCGAGTACCTCCATATCGTCTCAAACGGCAACGTTTCCAATGTGGCTGGCAATACTTTCCAGCCCTCTTCTCCACTTGTTCGACCGCGAGCCAGACGAGGGTGCAACGTACGATATGGCGCCGAAATAATCGCTCTCAGGGCTCGCGAAAGCTGCATTTTCAAGTTCTTACAGACAACAATGGATATCGTGCCGGGCACGCCTAAGACCCTTGCATTTGATTGGGAAGGTGTGGTTTACGCCAACGGATCAGAGTATCAGTAACTTTGTGTGGTACACACTTGGCATCTGACAATATTACTCGGCGAGACCGAAGCCTTTCAAGCCGTAATAATCCATTCTCTCTGAATTGAGAGGTTGATCTCCCTCTCTTCTCCCAGAACTCCTCAACGAGTGGTGCATGTGCGGCCCCTCCTTCATGTCCTTCGATTCGGCGTTCCTCAAAGCACGCTGACGACTTGGCTGATTTGAATTTCAGTGAGTGAAAATCAAATCTGATTAGATTGACATCTGATAAAATATTCACGCGATACCTGTTGCCCTCGCCCGCCACAGCGAAGACAGTCAGACGGAAATGACTGCCCTCAAGAATATCGTGGTTGTCGGCGGCAGCTACTGTGCGACATACATTATCGATGACCTCGCTCCACGAGTTCATCGCACTCACAACATCGTCATGATTGAGCGGAACTCCCACATGCAGGTTGGTACGGCGATGAAATAGGCCTAAGTACAGAGTACGCTAATCAGGTGTTGCAGCACATTTTTGCGTTTCCACGTATCACATCAGTGCCGGGCTTCACCCACAAGGCATTCGTGCCATACACCAATGCCTTCCATGAGCCGGAGGCGCCGTCGCATTCAGTGGAGGTGAAAAATGGTGTTGTCGAGAAGATTCTGCACGGGAAGGTGGTTCTGAATAACGGGGAGGAGGTGGAGTACGAATATCTGGTCATGGCGACCGGAACGGGCCATCCTGACAAGCCAAACGGGGGATTAGGGTTGACCGAGAAGCTGAGCAGCGTGCACAAGTTCGAGGCCATTCAAGAGCGAGTCAAGACGTCGAATGATATAGTCGTGGTCGGTGGTGGCGCTTGGGGTATCCGTGAGTTACCGCTTGTACCGTTTCTTCGGCCGATGGCACGAAAATAGAGCTCGCGTTCGACACGAAGGAGTTTTATCCCACCAAGAATGTGACGCTCGTGCATTCCCACCACCAGCTTCTCAATCGCTTTCATCCCAAACTGCATGACATTGTGTTCAAGCGAGGAAAAGAGCTGGGTGTAGAGCTTGCGCTGGGCCAACGTGTCAAACTGCCCCGAGGCGGCTTCCCTATTACCGGACCGTCCTACAACGTAGAGCTCGCTGATGGACAGATTCTCCATGCTGACATCGCCATACAATGCATGGGTGCTATACCACTCAGCGGGCCCCTTCGCAGTCTTGCCCCGTCAGCCATCAACCCAACAACTGGCTTCATTCGCGTTAAACCGACGCTGCAAATCGACACGGAGGCAGACTTCTCGCGGGTATTTGCCATTGGAGATGTTGCTGACACCGGCGCGTATAAGGCTGCCGGGCCAGGCTATGTCCAGGCCCAAATGGTTGCGCGGAACATCGAGCGCATGATTGGGCAAAAACCCGACACGAAGTTGGAGGAGTACACACCATCGGTGGCGGGGATACATCTCGCAATAGGGCTGCATCGGTATGTAACGTTTATGGACCCCAAGGACGCCGAATCAGAGCCGGAGGTGCAATTTGTAGAGTGGGATGGGGAGTCGGAGGAGGGGAAATACTGGTACGAGTGTCGGTGCCAGGTAATCTGGGATAGGCGGGCGCCGGGCGTGACAGATTATTGGTCGTAGCCAACAGCATGGAACATTATTGGAGTTGACTGGAGTTCGGGAAAATATAGGAGTAGCAGCACAAATGTATAAGGAAGTGGTTGAAAAGCTTTGAATGTCTGGCACACACTCATGAGACGAGATATTAATGCACCATTTTATCAGAGAACGCATAAAAGCTCAAGTTTCCAAGGCTACCACGTGTGTACTTCTCGCAATCCCCAGTTGCCGCCCAGTCGTACGTCATCGACGCGCATGAATATCATAATCCCCTGTGACTTCTTACCCGGCAATGGCCAACCCCCGCTTCACAACATGGTGGGGCTCCTACATGTTGACGGAGAGTTTCCACAATGTCAACGGAAAAGTCATAAACAATTATAAAAAGCTCGTGGTGAAGAGCGCGTGATTCGCGCGCCATTGGAATCAGCCCAGATGCCCACGAGGGGCATCTTTTGGAAGCACGACACCGCGTTAGCGGCGCGTGACCCGGAGATGCGGTGCGAACCGGCGCGAGAAAGACCGGTGGAGCGCGGGGAACCCTAGGCCGGGGCGAACGTGTTCGCCGCTGACTGATGGAGGCGCTGGAACTGCCAGCGCATGGGCGGTGCTGTCAATGCGCAAGACAGCGGGGATGGAAGGGTGGGTGTGGAGCACCCGTGTGGAGTGATAAGGACGCGTATGACGCGCGTCAGATGGCGGGAACGAGCGCGACAAGAGCGCGCGTCGGTGGACACGTGACCGAGCGACGGCGCTGCGGCGTAGGCCGATCACGGAGGCCGATCAAGGGGGCCGGGCCGGCGGTGCTTCCGCCTCAACTCAGCGCTTCAAGGAGGTCCCCTTGGGACGAATTGGGTGCTTCAAGGGGAGCATTAAGCCCCTGAAATGGAGAGCAGTGTGTCAAGGAGGTAGGAATGGAGCGTTGGCGCGTCAAGGAGACGCGTCAAGGGGCTCCATTCTGGGGTAAAATGGAGAAGAGGCTGCGCAGGCCGAACGCGGGGGCCGATCACGGGGTCGCGTCTCGGGGAGCGTACCAAGGAGGATCAAGGAGATAAATTCAGGAGGTGCCCGATTGTCGGAGCCACCCCCGATGGTCTGGAGCTTACAAATGCTGGGCACCTAAGAGATATAAATTGGGCATGCATTGTAGTAGTACAGTAGTGAAGTTTGGCTTGCCCCGGGCCCTCGGGGTTGTGTTTTGGTTCCGTTACGTTGTCTCCGTTATCGCCGTTGTCTACGATCGTCTCCGTTATCGCCGTCTGGTCCGTTAAGTCCGTCTCCGCCCGTTGTATTGTTCCGCCGTCGTCCCCTCCGTTCCGCTTCAAGTCTTGTGACCGTGTTCGATCCCGTGCCTCAAAGTTCAAGATTATCTAATCGCCTGCATTGCGCCCAATTACATAATCGACCCGAAATTGTTGTCTGAATTGCAACTGCTATATACTTTAGTAGGAGCCCCCGAACTTGCGCTTGTGAAAAAACCAAACTACCCCAAATCAAACTCCGACGTGATCCGATTGATCCGACTGATCCGAAGCTCGGCATAGGTGGTTTAGGTCCCGAATAGGTTGTGTGTTGTGTTGTGTGTGTTTGTTTGTTCGTGTTTGTGTTGGAGTTGGGTTTTGTGTGGTTTTGTGTTTCTCTTTTAGTGTCTGTGTGTGT